AAGTAGACCACAAGGCAGACCAAGATGACAATGGAGAGATAGCATCTCGGCAGCCCGACAAACACTAGGTGTTACCAACAGGAAAGAGAAGGCCAACCACAGAACGAACAAACGAGCGAACTTTATTTTCAAAGGGTTAAAATTTACGCACGCAGGCCCGTCTAACATTCTGCCCTTCTAGTCCTCCTCCTTTAAGACATTCATTTCATTTATATTTTAATTAATATGAAATATTACAATCGCACGAATGCGTGAATGGAGGAGGGGAGAATATTATACCAAACACCAGTGTGTTACCGTAAAATGAAAGATAAAGGTGACGTCAGTTCTGTAAAATAAACAGCGATTTTTACACCGTATGATAGCTACGATTAGCGCACGATTACATGGAAGTCCACGTTTCCGCTGTACTCGACGCTTGTGAATTTAATTCAGACTTTCTGTCACCTTTGTTGCTTCTGGCGGGAATTAAATGTAATCGCGTCTGCTAACTTTCGCAGACACGTGTTGAGTACCATTAGGCTCGCGGAGAATACTTAGTTCCGGTGCACAGGGTTTCTGGAAAAACAGAATGGGGAAAATAACGATTTAAAAAAAGGGTAACTCCTGGAGTTTCAGGGAAAGGAAATATACAACAAATGAAAGTTTCTAACAAAGTCTTAAAGATTAGAAATTAAAAAAAAAAAAAAAAAATCGGATTAAAAAAAAAACACACACACTAACAATACTAAACTAGTTTTACTGCATCCAGTTACCACTAACAGGGCGGTGTACATCAGTGTAGCAGAAAGGCAGGCAGTGAGTCTGTTGGTTTAAGGTCTCATGACTAGTGCATTCGCCACGAACTATGCAGGTTGGGATTTTTATTTCACCCTGGCAGAAAAAATATATCTTCGTCACTTAGTGAGGATGGAGCCAGGGTCTTTCACATGGAAGCCTGGCCTTCTAACGAACTGTTAGCCCTTTGAATATTATACTACGTGAACGAAATAAATACTTAAATAATTATGAAAACAGACAGCAACATTTGTAAATAACAGTACTATTCTAAAGAATTTGTTACCAAACTGTGTGATATTGCCCACCCCCTCCCATGAAGGGAACTGGGACAATTCAAGGAGGCAGCAGTAATCTGGGAGGCGAGGAACCAACAATCTGCATACGAATTAGCCACACACTTTCTTAATGGTCCCCCCCCCCCCCCAACCACTCTCTCTGATATATGATTATATGAATATTATAGGTTTGATACATAAAATGCAGTTGTGGTATGAAAGATGAGTGCCTGATGGGGCCGTATGTAAGTCAGGCCTGTATGTCCAACATGTAATCTTTAAGAAATAAAGGTCGTTCGTTCACTTTCTCCTGCTCAAACCTCCCAGTTGTTACAACGAAGTCTGATTGTCCATTCTCGCGATGTGAATTATCTCCCGTTGATGTGAGTAATCAGTTCGTTTCGTGGGTTATTTTTTCTTTCTCCTATTATGTTTATCTCTGTGGCTAAGACGATGCGAACGCTTCGTAATGCCGCTGTGCGGGGTTCGATCACTGCTGCGGACGGTTTGTCTTGCGATGTTTCGACCGTGGTACCGAGAGCCGACCGTCCAGGGGCAATGGCAAACTACTGGACGTAAACTTGCCTAGAAAAACACACAACAACCAGAAAGTGCTAGGGGTTGGTTCTGCAACGTCCTGTAAAGGATACGCAACTAATTAAATTATCATTATAAAGCTTTGTATCTATATCTTGATGGTCTAAACATTCGTCTATAAAGCTGCTGTCCAATATTTCGCTAGTCGGCTCAAAATACGAAATTCGCAACTGACGTTATTCGAGTCTTCATTATGTGTGTTGAAAATGTTGCTACTTACGGACCAGAAAAACGCGCACCCCAGCTTCTGAGTTGAGTGCATGGCGTGACACTGTGAGCTACGTATGTTTTTCGTTGGCGCAGGAGCGGAGCAACTATGGGGTGACCCGTTTGCTATGAAGCTGAAACTAGGATTACCAGATTACCAGAACACAATAATACAACACAGCTGGCAATGATCTGCGGGCCAATAACTAGGCCCTGGTAGGCCCAGTTTTGGCCGGCGGGCCGCCAGTTGAACAACCATGTGGTACAACATAACAGAATGGGCTGGTTCACACACCCACGAAAAGCCGTGATGAAAAACTAGAACGAAGAGAGATCAAGCGGAAGATCGTACCAAATAAGGACATTAAAAAAATAAAAAAACAAAAAAAGAACGTTGAGACATAAAACCGAAATGTACACATCACATGCGATAGAGCCCACAACCATCGCTGGATTTCAGTATAAGCTAAATAAAATACATCTTGGGGCCAGACAATCTCTAGGGGCCTCAACAAACTCCTGCTTGTTTTTGCCCCTTACAAATAGGAATATCTTTTGATATATTTTACATGAAAATGTCTTTGACTAGAGTCTTGTTTAGAGGAATGTATTATCTTTGTGATTTTGCAAACACAGTCTTTATTATTTATTTAAAAAAAATTTTAAGTGATACTATTTTTTCATTATTCGCCATTAGTTAGTTAGTTGTGTTTCCTTTACAAGAACCAGAACCAACCCCAGCGTTTTTTGGCTGCTGTGGTTTGTCTGGGCACATGTTACATTCAGTAGTTTGCCATTGCTTTCCTGAACCGTCAGCTCTTGGTACTACTGTCGAAGCCAACGCAAGACTATCCGTCAACTGGGATCGATCCAAGACTCCGGCATTACGAAGTGCGTTCACAACGCCTAAGTCACAAACGCCGACTATCCACCATTATCTATATATTTAAATGATAATTTTAAAATTGTTTGACATTAGCTAGTGCAATTTAAGACTATACGGGCCTCGGGACTTTATATAGCTTAGGGCTTCATCAAGTGCACACATGCGATCTTTAAATATCTCTCCCTGTCTCTTAGTCACCTCTCGCTCTCTCACTAACAACAGTATAATACACATAAATGACGTCATAGATTCCTGCTTACTGCCGTCAAGGCAAATAGCTCATTCCCTATCCATGACCGAATCGTCTGTCCTCAAACACAACAAAACCAACACCGTCAGAGCCTACATATCAGCCTATAATATAATTTACAACAAGCGGTCGGCAGTTCGCCTGTCATTCACTATCATCACCTACAGTCGTCCCATAGCTACACAGGCTCTTGATACATTGACACGCGATGACTGAAGAGATCACAGCTGAATATATTATCCTTAGATGAAGATGACTGATTTCGATCTAACATCGAAAGCACATTAATATCGATTGTATCTAGGAGTTCGACAAACAAACGGCACAAACACAGTCTAAATGATGAAGCCATACTCTGTCTGATCAATAACCTGCACAGATCCACTGCAGTGAATTTCAGGTTTGTCTGTCATCGTCTGCAACAGTTCTTCTTGTCTGTCTTTTCAACTAAAGACAATTTTAATGATTTATCTCCTATTGTTGGCTACTCTAAGTGAAGTAATGTTTACGTCATTGTGCAAATGATGCGACACTCATACTTTTGTTGACCAGTAAGCACTTTATGGGGGTTTAGTAAATTTCGTACCTGTCGCCTTTACTTCCCAAGACAATGCCCATTGCACGTTTAGGCTTGGTCGACCTGAGAGTGAGGGTCAAGTTTTCTTCTTTTTAAGAAGAAGAAGAAGAAGAAGAAGAAGAAGAAGAAGAAGAAGAAAAGAAGAAGAAGAAGAAAAAAGAAGAAAAAGAAGAAGAAAAAGAAGAAGAGTTTATTTATACTTTTGAACTGACGTCTACAGCATCCATGTTTAACGTTTCTTATTTCCATTTTGTCTACAGAAAGTGCCCAAATCTCCTGCGATGCGCTATGATGACAACAGTGTGTCCGTCACCTTTAACTCGACGCCAGGGCTACCACATGGCCACTTCCTCTCTCACCCCCAACAGCCGGCTCTATTCCCGATCATGAACAACTTAGGCAAGCATTCAGCACTTCTCACCTCGCCTCTTGGAGCCAACACGGCTCTCCACGCCTCCATTTCCGGCCCAAGTGCCATCAGACCTCTCAGTTCTCCGTTGTCATCATTATCTTCAGGATCATCTATGGACGCCTCTGTATCCAGCTACGGGAATATGACAGCCTTTCACCATCTACACTCCGGGTTAAACCACAGAGAGAGACTGGGGATGCTTCAAGGGGAGTCTAGACATTTTAACCAAACTCCCGGAGGAGACGGCCAGCTGCTGACACCGGGGCACATGTACAGCTCCCAAACAAGACCTATACCAGACTCTCACGATCATTATGCTAAATATATACGCCATATTTCTGGAGGTTTTCCCAGACCAGAATCTTTGTCCTCGCCTAACGGTAAAAAACACGAGGTTGCTCGTGAAGACTCTACTAGCCCCACAAATACAGATCATTCTTCAGCATCTCTAGAGAAACTGTCAAAGCAGACCACCGAGAATAACTCCGAAGACTTTCATGAAGATTGTGAGAAGCCTGACGAAGATCGCGATAAGACTAATGAAAATAAACATGATACACAGACTAATATTTATAACTTTCGCTCTCATTCCATAGAAAGCATTCGAAATCAAGTTCACTATTTTCCGGATTCGAAAGAGCTCCAAAGAAACGGAGAAAATAATGCTGAGGACGATGATGAACTTCTTCAAGTTGACTCTCCTCCATCTTCTCCGATGAGGGACCGTCGAAATTCGTCCTCATCTCATCATTCTCTGGTCAGTGACGATGACCATCACGACGATGATTATGATGAAGGAAAAGACATGATGGCAGGTTTTAACCATGAAGACATCGATCATGACATTTGTGATAACGAGGACGATGACATTTCCCCTCACAAAAGCTATATCCATAACGATAACAATATGAGTAAAAGCTCGGATGAGGGTAGCGGAAACGGATCCGGAAACTCCTCCATGAAGAAAAAAATCAAGTTTAGTTAAACCGCCATATTCTTACATTGCGCTGATTACTATGTCGATTCTGCAGTCTCCAAGGAAACGACTGACTCTCTCAGGAATCTGCGAGTTCATAATGAACCGATTTCCCTACTTCAGAGAGAAGTTTCCAGCCTGGCAAAACAGTATCCGACACAATCTATCTCTTAACGACTGCTTTGTCAAGATCCCGCGTGAGCCAGGAAATCCGGGCAAGGGTAACTACTGGACACTGGACCCCGCAAGCGAGGACATGTTTGATAACGGGAGCTTCCTCAGAAGACGAAAACGTTACAAGAGATCGAATCACATGGACATGCTGGGTCAGAATCCAGCTTTTATGTCTGCGGCTGATTCCTACTTCCATCATCACGGGTTCTTGAACCCACACGCTTCTCATGCCGGACCTTTTAACCATACCCATGGACCAATAAGTTACTCATTTATCCCTTCGGGCTTATCTCATCCCTTATCCATTATGCAGAGTGAGTATGCCGCCCGCGCTCATCATCCTCAACCAGGACCTCCTCATTTTCACCTTCCTTTAGGGCCTGTCGGACTTCCGTCTTTACCTCCCACGCCCCTAGGCCCACTCGCTTTTCATAGAAATCCCAACAGCCAAATTCGTCACCTGGAGAAAAGAGACGCTCTGGATAACCCGATAGGTAGCACTGCATCCATTCCCTCCTCACCCCCGGCTTCTCCTTTGTCTTCGCCCTCCCCATCAGCATCATCCCCACCTGTAAACACCACCAAACCATCATCATCTTTATACTCCAATACAACACAAGCAGCAACGTCAAACAAGCCGAAAAAAGGCTTTACGATAGAAAACATAATTGGAACATCCTCAACGAACATCTCATCATCTCAGCCCGTGTGCTCTTCGCCGTCTGTGAAGACGGAATCCAAAACATTGACTAACTCACTGCCGTCCTCAGCGGCATCAGTATTACCACCACTCTCATCCGCGACTGCCGCAGCTGCAGCAGCAGCCTTGTTGCCCGCGTATAGAGCAGGATTGGCCGGATTGAGTCTAACATCGCCATCTTTGTCATCCTTGTCATCGCTGCAAGCTTTTAGAGCAGGGGCCTGGGACATGGCTGGGCGTGGTGGTTCGGCCGGTAGCGCATTTGCCTCCCCGTTTGCAGGTGCACTGACTGGGTTAACCCCTCTAGACTTTGAGAAATACAGACAATATATGCAGGCGTGTGCCATAACCGGCTGGCCAAGGTGACCATGAAACTGCAGTTAAAACAACATAGTCAGTGGCCTCATGTGGCATGCATGAATCGTCCACTCCCATACCAAATAAACTGTGTTGTCACTTGTGACACTGTCAGTTTTAATGACCTTATCATTGACATGTCATGCTTAATACTGTCATGTTTGACTGTGTCAGTTTTAAAGAAATCATGTTTAACATTGTCATGCTTAGCTTTCGTTTTCTGATAACCAAATGTAGAGCGACAGTGCTTAAATCTAAACCCGTGTAGCAGTCAATAATCCTCCTGTTTTGAATTTATACACTTTACTACTACTACTACTACTACTACTACTACTACTACTACTACTACTACTACTACTACTACTACTACTACTACTACTACTACTACTACTACTACTACTACTACTACTACTACTACTACTACTACTATTACTAATACTACTACTACTACTACTACTACTACTACTACTACTACTACTATTACTACTACTACTACTATTACTACCACCACTACTACTACTACTACTACTACTACTACTACTACTACTACTACTACTACTACTACTACTACTACTACTACTACTACTACTACTACGACTACTACTACTACTACTACTAATACTACTACTACTACTACTACTACTACTACTACTATTACTACCACCACCACCACTACTACTACTACTACTACTACTACTACTACTACTACTACTACTACTACTACTACTACTACTATTACTACCACCACCACCACCACTACTACTACTACTACTACTACTACTACTACTACTACTACTACTACTACTACTACTACTATTACTACTACTACTTCTACTACTACTACTACTACTACTACTACTACTACTACTACTACTACTACTACTACTACTATTACTACCACCACCACCACCACCACTACTACTACTACTACTACTACTACTACTACTATTACTACTACTACTTCTACTACTACTACTACTACTACTACTACTACTACTACTACTACTACTATTAATACCACCACCACCACCACTACTACTACTACTACTACTACTATTACTACTACTACTTCTACTACTACTACTACTACTACTACTACTACTACTACTACTACTACTACTACTACTACTACTACTACTATTACTACCACTACCACCACCACTACTACTACTACTACTACTACTACTACTACTACTACTACTACTACTACTACTACTACTACTATTACTACTACTACCTCTACTACTACTACTACTACTACTACTACTACTACTACTACTACTACTACTACTACTACTACTACTACTACTACTACTACTACTACTACTACTACTACTACTACTACTACTACTACTACTACTACTACTACTACTTCTTTTTCTTCTTTTACCCCACTGCTTATGCCGCGAAGAGTCGCAGAAAGGAGTTAGATGTAGTTTCCCGTCCGTTGCTAGTTGTCTAGCTTGTGTTAACGTCATATTGCTTCTTCTTTACTCCCTCTACCCATTTCATTCTTGGCCGACCTCTTGAGTTGTAGCTTGCTGTTCTATGTATTACCCTCTAGCTGCTGGCCTTAATGATTTTGTTCCATTGTGACCAGACAACAAAACCAACGGTTTCTTTGATGTTTTATGAAATCATATACCGGTTATGCCAGTCCTACTTTCTGTAAAAGTACCAGGTCTAGTACAGTCAAGTTTCATGTTCCTTGCCTTACAGTGTCCCGTTTCAGTTTAGTATGCCTGTTACTGCCATGGGTAAATTTGTTGTTTGACGTTGTCATAAATTGGATTGCAATATCTTAAATGCTATTAGCTGTAGCCATGCTATGTTTAATGCAATGATAAATTTGATTCAACCCTGTTAAACACAATACTTGCGTTTCATGCTGATTCATTTGACTCTGACAACTGTTTGCAACTGGCCTGTTAAACACATTTAATTCTAAAACTATAATGCGTTTCAAAAGTCGTGCCCTCACACTTTAAAAAAAAATATCCCGAAAACTCCTGCACTGATGAAAATGAATTGTTGCAGGTAGTCTTGGATTTCCCATGTCCATTTGACAGGTGCTGCTGTTTTCTTAAAGCTTCTGGTATCTTTTTTTAGGGTAATAATTTGTTTATCCCTTAAAAAAATGAATTTACAGTAATTGCCACACACCTAGAGATTGTTTGAAAATCATTTCAGTCCAGTTGTGTTTCGTAATTATTTTAATAGCCTACGCCACATGCAATGAAAAATTGTGTTCATATAGCTCAAAGGAGGATAATGCTGGAGATGACCACCTGAGAGAGAAACGCTTATGAAACGCCTACAATTTGATGTTTCCAAAATTTCCCTTTACTAAGTTTAATGTAAGCATGCTGACTACTTGCTTTAAATCGGTGTAGTTTTTTGCCCCCCCCCCCCCCACATACCGCAAACAAGGAAACAGAAAAAACTGGATTTCAGTTAACATTACAAACAATTCTCACAAGGACATGATTATGAACAGGTTGCATACCAAATGTCAGCAACCTATGCGGAACAGTTACGGAGATACAGATTTTCAAAGCTGGGCACGACTTCTTAAACGCACTGTAACATAACTGTCAGACGTTTGAGGCTGTCGAGTTTAACTTTATCAATATTGATACTATCCGAAGCTTGATACTGTTGTGTGTCACACTGCTTCACTTGTCAAGTTATGAGGTTGGAATGTCATGGTTTTATACTGTGATTCTAGACATTGACGTAAGTTTCATGCACGTTTTATTCTGTCATACTTGGCACTGATATAGATTAGATACATTTATGTTTTACCCTGTAATACATGATACTGTCCTAAATTTGAGACTAACTTAAGTATGATATTGTCATGAATTTACCAATCTACTAGGCAATATCAAAAGTACGATATACTGTGATACCCGACAACTCGTGAGCTACGAGCTGACATCGTTAACACTGTCATGTAGGGATCTCCAAGTCGTTTCAGGTGGTGATAACCCCCCCCCCCCCACCCTAACTGAGCATACTATAAGACCCCCACCCCCACCCCCTCCCCCCACCCCGCCACCAACGATACAGAATAAGATAAAAAGAAGCATAGTTAACAAAAACTTGGAGAAAGTAGCCACATTACACAATGTGCCAAAAACCACAAAAGAAGCAGAGACATTTTGTAATTTGGTGTCAAAAAATTAATGTGAAGACAGACACAGTTTGGTCTTGAACATATCTGCTAATTTTGGTCTGATGTTAGAAGGAGCACAACAGAGATCACTCTCCACCACAAGCTAGCAGCGTTGTTTTGTTTTCATGACTGTTGAACTGAAAATCTGGATTATTAGCAGTGCCAAGGCCAGCTCCATTTCTAAATTAGTTAAGGCCTCCCATTGAAAGCTTCTCACAAGACGCCCCCCCCCCCTCTTTTCACATCCAGACACTACCATTACTAACAGTGTTAAGTTGGCACTTGAATTTCTACACTAGTCTAGTCTGTCTGAAAGGAGGAAATAACTGGATGCGTTAGAGTTAGCACCCTTGTCTGACAACACTGTGGTCAAACGTTCTGATGAATCTTAGTAATCTGACAACCCAGTCTAAAATAGGTACTAGACACATTTCTAGGAAGTAAAGACGGTCAATGTGATACTGCTGGCATCACTAATCATGTTCCAAACGATCTAAAATGATGATGATGGTGACGACTAAGATGTCTAGAATTTTCTAGAATGTTCAGTTGAGTCTCTGCCCTTCCTCACTTCTACGCGACCTCCACTATTATCTTGTATGAATGTCAGCCGATACTTGATAATTTCTTTCCCATGGCATTTTAGTGGTGTCATCCACCCTCCACAATCAATTAATAATTATAGCTTATCTAGTCTCATTATCACCAAAATATAATGTTTTTTTTTTTTTTTATATTGTACAGGATGTTTGTAAATTGTCACTATACTTTGTATGCTGAACATTTCAAAAAATACATGACGTTAAAATTTTTTTAGAGCAGTCATTAAATTAGTTACAATAGTTACTGATATGGTCTAATGCTTCTTTGGGGGAGCAGGAATGTAAGGATGAAATATTTATTATATAAGCTGTTGGAAATGTCCGCCACCGGCTTCAAACCATGACAATCCGTGTGTAGCGACAGCCATTCTGATTAACTTTTTCAACAACAATGAAAAAAAAAAAAAGATCTTTCGTTGGTAGAACCATTGCAAAGAATTACTCTAGCAGACGACAATCATTCACTGCAAATTGCTTCACAGTTGACTACAGTTGAGTACATTTTTGGATGATATGCAAATGATTTTTCAGATTTTTTTCTACAGACGAATTGAGGTGAGATTTTACAAACACCCTGTATTAACACCCTGTATTTATGTCAATACTGCTTAGATCAGGAACCAAGATGCCATAGTCGCCAGAAACTTGTCTACCCACCCGTAAATATTGTGTTCCAATTCACACTGAGATGAACTTCGTGTTGTAACTGACTGAAAGTCCCAGGTTGACCCAGCCTACAATGTGTACCAGGACATTTTCTGGGAAATAAAAGCAACCGGTGTGATGGCTATCCAACCCACGGTGAGTCGGGTCGTCTGTTAAAAAGACTGACCCAGTACACTTTACGGGTGCAAGCTGCAAGATTTTGCTGGGACTGACCAGGTTTTTTTCATTACTTTTCAAATGTAAAAGCTAATGCCGTTGTGTCTCATTTTCACTGGCACGGGAACGGAGCAGGTATGGGGGTGACTCATCTGCAATGATGTTGAAGCTTCGATGGACGACTAACTTTATATCTCATTCGTCGATGACATTAAAAAAGGGCCCTTTCCTTTACTTTATGCACCCCTGAGTTACACTGTGTACAAAAGCAAGAGACTAATGTCATTGTATATTTATGTGAATTAAGAGAGTGGCTTTTGGTTCGGTCGTTATGCCGTAGAGCAGTGGTTCTCAACCTGACGGTCACGACCCTTTTTTGGGTCGAAAGACAATTTCACAGGGGTCGC